TGGTTTCATTGGTATTGATATCGGGTTGCAATTTTTTATCTTGTACTTCTTCAAAATCTCCTTTGCATATGCCTCCTATGATATAAAAATACATGTCTCTCCTTGTTTAACCTCCAAACCAAGAAAAACTTCAACAAGCCCAAGTCTGTCATCTCAAATTCTCGTGTCATTGTGCTTTTAAACTCTTATATCATTTCATCATTGTTTCCTGAAAAGATGATGTCATCGACATAAAGAGCAACAAGTATCACGTTACCTCCGTTCTTTGTGAAAAGTGCATGCTCGTGGGGACATTGCTTGTACCCGTTCTCCTTGAAGTATGTATCAATACGAGTATTCCATGCTCGCGGTGCTTGCTTCAACCCGTAAAACGCCTTCTTCAATTTTAGTACCTTCTTTTCTTCTCCAAATTTCATGTACCGGGTGGTTGTTCGAGGTAGACTTCTTCTTCAAGCACACCATTCAAGAATGTCGACTTGACATCCATTTGAAAAATCAGCCATTTGAATTGAGCTGGTTGGGAAATGAGCAATCAGATTGTCTCCATTCTTGCGACGGGAGCAAACACTTCGTCATAATCAATTTTTGGCTTTTGCTTGTATCCTCTCGCAACAAGTCGCGTCTTGTACCGCTCTTGCCTTGAGCATTCATCTTTTTCTTGAATACCCACTTCACACCTATGGGCTGACTTCCTTCCAGTAATTCTGTCAACTCTCATGTATTGTTGCGATGAATCGTTTTAATCTCCTCATCCATAGCAGTTTGCCACTTCTTGTCTCCACCGCCTCTTCAAAACTGATATTTTCAGCATCGACCAGAAGACATACAAGGTGTACCTCATTTTTTGAATCATACAAGTCTCGCAAAATTCGCATTTTGGGTTGTCGTGGTTCATCTTCATCATCAGAAATTTCTGAGTCTGTTGGTGTACTTGTTGGTGCAACAACTGATGATTCTCCAACTTCGATATTAACTTCCGTCAAATTGTTCCACTCTCATTCGCTTGCTTCATTTACTCGCAAATCACGACTCACTATCACCATCTTACTTATCGGGTCAAGTAGCTTGTATCCTTTTATCTTCTCATCATATTCAATAAAAATATACCTTCTCCTTTTGCCTTCGAGCTTCGTTCTTCGTTGATCCGGTATGTGAGCATAAGTCACACTACCGAACACTTTGAGATGAGAAATTGTAGGCTTTTGTCTGCTCCAGGCCTCTTGTGGTGTTTGATCATCTAACTATGCATGTGAACATCGATTTTGTACGTAGATGCGGTTAGAAATTTCCTTATGCCTTGCTCCTTGCAATACTCCATGAAAGCCGTCGAAGTATACTCGCCACCTCTATTGGATCGTACAGCTTTTATGTGTCTACCAGTTGCCTTCTCTACCATATCTTTGAACTTTTTGAACACCTCGAATGCCTTGGATTTTTCGTTCAAAAAGTAAGCCCAAGTTTTTCGTGAGTAATCATCGATAAAGAAAATGAAATACCTCTTTCTGCTAAAAGACTCGGGGGTAATTGGTCCACATATATCTATATGAACCAACTTGAGAGGTTGTTTAGCCCAAAATTCAGCATTCTTTTGAATTGAGGTTATCGAATGCTTGCTGAGCACACATTTTTCACAAAATTTTCCTTCAAAGTCCATGTTGGGTAGCCCATGCACCATATTCTTCTTTGCTAACTCTTTTAGGCCGTCATGATGTAGGTGACCAAAGCGGAGATGCCACAGTGATGCCTTTGTCTTCTACGTTGACTCGTAAAAAATTTTCTCATATGCTTCTTAAATTCAGTTTGTACATCCAATTTCTTCCTATCTCTACTTTAGCAACCAAACGCCCTTGCTTGTCATTCAGGTGTAGTAGGCGGTCTTTTAAGAATATCGAGTAACCTTTCTCTGTGAGTTTTCCCATACTGAATATGTTGGTCTTGAGGTCTGGTACGTAATAAACATCTTGGATTGACCCTATTAAACTATCCTTTTGCAAGAAATGTATCGTACCTCGGCCTTTGACCTCCACCTTTGACGCATCTCCAAATGACACATGACCATCTTCAATCTTTTGCATCTCTTTGAATAGGTGCTCATGACCGCACATATGGTTGCTTGCCCTTGAGTCGAGGTACCACAGAGTGTCATTGTTGATGTTGTCTTCATTTTGAGCCAGCAAGAGAAGACCTTCATTTGTTACGTCTTCCAAGGCTTGGTTGGTTACTCCTTCCACCTTTTTATCTGCTCGATAATCTTTTGCAACATACCCCATTCTACCACAATTGTAACATTTGTCGGAGTTATAATCATTCACATAGTGACCATATTTGCGACATTTATAGCACTAAATGTTGGAATAGATTGATCAGCCGCCTCATCCTCGATTGCGTCTTCTTCCACACCAATTTTCTTGGCTCGACTGTCTCTTCTTCTTATAGTATCCTTCATTACTACTGCCTTGACCACCTCGACCATTTCTGTGGCTTTCACGACCACAACCTCTACCTTGAAAATTTTGAGAGTAGAGTATCTTTTCATCTTTGATTGATGTCTTGGTTTGAAGTGCTTGATCGAGTGTTTTCTCCTTCTTCTTCATGGTCATATCGATCCCTAATTTATCAGAGTCTTAACATTCTTATACCTATTACAGTCATATCGTTACGTTATGAGAGTAGAGTACCTTTCGTTATTATTTCACATTTTAATTAATCCAACTAACAATGTGAAATACAGCTCTAAAACGGTCTCAGTAAAAATCCGCTTCATATCCCACCGTTCGTCACCTTTCATTAGTATTTCACATTTTAATTAATAATCCAACTAACAATGTGAAATACGGCTCTAAAACGGTCTCAGTAAAAACCGGCTTCATATCCTACCATTCGTCACCTTTCGTTAGTATTTCACATTTTAATTAATAATCCAACTAACAATGTGAAATATGGGTCTAAAACGGTCTCAGTAAAAATCGAATTCCACGTTTTCATTGTTTCTAAATTTTTGTTGGGCGTAAAACTTAAATTGAAAATATGTCAATATTATTTCATGCGATTTCAATCATTCAATCCAACTATGGTTTGTTATAATATTACTCTGGGTACAAATAATAATAATTTCTCACATCTTCCATTTTCCTTCTCTCTATTGTACCACCTTGTTTCTCTTCTCTCTGTATTTTTTTTTTCTTTTTTACAAATGACTGCAATTATAAAACAATTTTCAATTAATTATGTTCTCCTCTCTTTCCTAGTATGACTATCCTTATTAATTATTATATTATTGCTGTTATAAGGATAGAGATCGCAACAAACAACTCTTCTTTTCCCGAATCAAAAAAATAAGAATTTTGAACATTAAAAGCTTGTATCCATAGAACATTTGGCGTAACATAGATAATAAATAAATGGGAGTTAATATGATTCCAATTGCCATTACCAAATTAATTAATATTTTTGGCTGGTAATTATTCCAAAAAAGACTTAATTCTACAACAAAACTGCTCATACCCGGCAATGCAAGGGAAGCCATCGATAAGATACTAAAAGTCGTGAATATTTTTGGAATTGGAATAGCCATTCCACCCATTTCATTGAGATAAACAAGACGTATTCTATCATAACTTGTTCCCACCAAAAAAAAAAGTGCAGCGCCAATAAATCTATGAGAGATTAGTTGTAAAATAGCTCCATTGAGTCCCGTATCACTTATAGAACAAATTTCTATAATTATGAAACCCATATAAGAGACAAGAGGAATAAGCAATTCTTTTTTTTAAATTGCGTTGACGGAAGATGTTGAAGCTGCATAAATTATTTGAATTATGCCCACTATCATTAACAGTAAGCCATTTTCAATCTATTATGTTTTCTTCTCTTTTCCAAATGACTATTTAATCAAAGAAGTCATTTTCAATCGATTCTAGTTTTCCTTTAGTAAGAATGTCTATGCATCAATCAATTATGATTTCCTTCTCTTTCCTAAAAATGATGATCCAATTTAGATCAATTTACAAAGCTATTTTCAATCAATTTTGATTTTCTATAAGATATCCAAAAATCTAAATAATTGAAAAAGAGATGTAAGATAACTTTTCTATCTCTTCCAAAAAATAAAAGAAAAGGAGATCTAACCAAACTTTTCTACCTCTTTCCCTTCCTATCAAATCTTCTTGAATTGGAGGACATCTTCTTTTTTTCTCTCCCAATGGTCTTTCCTTTGTTTCCTTCTCCTATTTTTCCCTTCTCAAAATCTGCCATTTTTTTGTTTTTGTTTTACTTCTTTTTTTTCTGATCATTTTGGAATTGTAGGAGGTGTTACGATATTTAGGGAAGGTGGAGAGAGTCGATAATTTATTACTTTTTTTTAATTATTATTTACTTATTATTATTATTTTCCTATTTTTTTTCTTTTTCACTTTTTTTTGGGTGGTTACACAATGAGAGGAGTGCTAAGGTTGGGAAAGAAGGGCAAGTTGAGCCCGAGGTTCGTGGGTCCCTTTGAAATCCTAGAAAGGGTAGGGCCCGTGGCATACAGACTAGCATTACCACCCACGCTCGCTGCAGTGCACAACGTACTCCATGTATCGATGTGAGAAAGTACACTCCGGATCCCACTCACATCATCGATCACGAGACACTTCCCCTTCGGGAGAATCTAACATATGAAGAAAAATCCATAAGGATAATGGCACGTGATGTAAGGAAACCACGAAAAGGGAGATTCCATTAGCCAAGGTCTTATGGGAAAACCATCAGGACAATGAAGCCACCTAGGAATGTGAGGATGACACGAGGAGGTCTTACCCCGAACTCTTCCGGGGAGGATAAACTTTCAAACACGAAAGTTTCTAGGGTGGGGAGAATTGTAATACCTTAATTTTTAGATAAATAAATAAAAAAATAAAATAACAACATAGGGACAAAAGGGTCATTTTGCCCCTACTCTTGCCCGGTCTAGTTGTTTGGGCTCTAAGAAGAAAGAGAAAGAAAGAAAAAAAAAAAAGAGGGAGAGGAAGGAGAAAGGTGAAGAAGTTAGGGTTTGGGAGAGAGGAAGAGCAAAGAAACAAAGTTGGAGATCGAATCCAAGGCAAGAAACTTCAAAGCAATACTTCTCTTGGTACTGGAAAAGGAGTTTGGGTGGTGGATCCACTCATTCCGGCAAGAAAATCCGAGAATGGACAAAGTAAGGTTCCGAACTTCTTGTTTCGATTTTATCTAGATATGAGGAGTTTCTTGAGCGTTTAGTCTAGAGTTTTTGAGGTATGTAACTAAAATAAGATTCACACAGGTTTCTTGAAGTTTCTGGACGAAAATCGGAGTTTCAAGAAAACGCGATTTTTGGTAAGAACTCGTATTTTTCTCTAAATTCGAACTTAAATAATAAGACCTGTGATTCCCAAAAAAATACAAGAAAAATATATTGTAGAAATAGAATATGAGATCTACAATGTTCGTGAAGAGAAATTGTTGATTTGGATTAAGGATTGGAAGATATAAAAATCAGAAGAAAATGGATCGAAAACGCCAAAACTCACGTTTCTGAAAAAATGCAGGAGGAGAGAGGAGGCATCACCGCCACATGTCGGCCGACGTACGGAGGAGTGCAGCAGGACCGACGAGTGACACGTGGCGACCGTGGGCTGGAGAAGCGCATCAGGCGCGCGCAATCGGGTCGGCGTGTAGGCGTGTGAGTGACCTTTTTCCCTCCGTTCGACCTCTATTTGCTTGATTTTCGCCCCGATTTCAACTCTGATCTTATTTTTATGTGAACTAGGACCTATCAAGGAAATTCCAGAATTTTTAGAATTTTCCGGCAAATAATTCAAGCTTGGGAAGGCACGCGTTAACCAAGTAAGTAGCCATTTGTATTCCCACGAACAATACTTGGAGGAACCGTTTGGAATAAGCATGCATGCTATCAGACCCATAAACATAGTTAACCGAACCTAGCATATTAGTTTGGAAACCATGAAAATGAAATAAATAAGGAAATCTATGGCTTCTAGATATAAATGATTATGTAATTTGTGTAGATTGAGATTCTGATAATGTATGTATGCATGAGAAGGATGGGAATCTTGTGAAATATGCGCTCCGGGTGAAGATGGACGTTATCTTCCCGTTGAGCATGTTTGTTAATATTGCATGAACTGCTACGTGTTAACTCCTATGCATAATGATTGCTTGTGTTATCTTTCTTGATGAATAGGAAGAAATTGTGAGCTTAGATTAGGGTGCTTGTGACTAAGTAGGCTAGATGATACCCCAGATTGGGGGACCTCTAGAATACCGTGCATTTAGACCCGCGAAATGATTACCGACAGATCCAGAGCCCAGAATTCGAAATCTTATAGGTTTGTGAGACCTTGCACGAGAATCCTAGAGATGCATGAATCCAAGTCTAACCCACCAAGTTCCACCCTAGAAAGAATAGTAGGTCCCACGGTAACTGTAAGTAGCTCGCTAGAGTTGAGTAGTGTGGATAGTGTCATCAGAACCTCCACTTCCCTCTCTGCTCCAATACTGTACCGTTGAGACAGAGCTCCGGTACAGAGATCATTGAGCTTGACAGATCCGGATAGGGAAGTGTGACAGGTTCCCAGACCTAGTGGTGATAGCTAAGGGGTCTTCTGAACAGAACTCCTGGACCGTAGAAACCCGTCCCTGAGTGGGGGACATGGAGTCAAGTAGGATGACTTAGTAACTGACCGACACACAGGGGGTCGCACCCCGAATTTAGTGGATGTATGGTTCTATGTGAGGGTTGTTAGCTAACCTCCACGGATGATGTTTAGAGAGAGTCACGTATTCAAATCCAGCCATACGATCCCCTCAGATTTACTTATGAGGTCGTGGCTCACCTCAGAACACTGATCATTCCACTGCATAAGATGTGCAAGCCTCCTAAGATACAGAAAAGAGGGTTGTAGCGTAATTAGCACTCACTAGAAACCAGAGATAAGACCGTGGATACCTACTAAGATAAGTATGCGAAAAGAGCCTACATGTAGGTTGCTTACTAAGTATATTTTTATACTCACTTCTTTCTCCTTTTTTTTTTCAGGTACCAGTCGATACGGGGAGGTGTTCGAGAGCTACACTGTCACAGAGAGGTGTCGTTCCGGAGCGTCAGTCACTTGTCGGTCTTTTAGAGTGTTTTGTATTTCATTTTATATTTGTAATTTCTTTTGTAATAATTTGAAACAAATCTTTTCTCTATTTTGTTTTAATTAAATGGTATTTTTATCTTTTACTTTTCTTTCATTTTAATTTTGTTTGTTTTCAATTTCTCTTTTTAGTCACCCTTTATTTTTACTAACCCTCAAAAATCATGTAGTGACAATTCTTCTCTTGACTTTTCTTTCCTAAATTAAATTCTACTAACAAATTAACTAAAATTGGCATTTACCATTTTAAGTTTATTCAATAGTTTACAGGCCCTTATAAAAATGGTTCATTTTCCTCTCCATCCTCTCCATCCTCTACAACAGATGTGGGATCTCACAATTAATTTGTCAGACTCAATTTTGGATGGGATCTCACAATTAATTTGTTAGACTCAATTTTGGAGGCTTTGTTAGACTCAATTTTGGAGGCTTGGAAACTTAAACAGTGACAAAAAAGACAAAAGTGAAAACGACAAAAAGAAAATAAAAGTAAAATAAAAGATAAAAATCTCATTTAATTAAAACCGAAGAAAGAGAATTTAATGTTTCAAATATTACATAGGGTTACAGATATAAAAGAAAATACAAAAGACTCTAAAATGACTGAAAACGGATTGATGCTCTAGAATGACCCCTTTTGTGACCACACAATTCTCAAACGAACACTTGAAGACTCTCTTCTCATCCTAAGTTTAACAAATTCCCACAGGCTTCTCATTGGCTCTAGAACGTCTGGTTCTAGTCTTATCTTTTGGGGGTTGTTTTGGTTCTCCGTCTTTTCATTTAATCTCTAAGAGTTCCTTATGTCGAGTTATAAATGACCGTTGTCTCTCTACGAGGTGCTACCTTTGCATGGCTATTTGAGACTATATGGTATCTTATTTAGGGGTGTGCTGAGTACCTCCTAGGTCCATGATAGTCCCCCTCATTGGGGACTGCGACTCCTCCCTTATCCCATGCAGCTAATGAGTTGTACGACATGGGAACATGTTTCCTATGCGAAACGACTAGGAATAGTGAGAATTGATCATGAACCCCAGGTCCCCTACGAAGCAATAGATACCGTTCACACAACTAGCAGCCTAAGAATACTCCTAAGGTACTTCATTTGTCGTGGTGATCGATTAGGCAACTAGAGAAGCCGAGTAAACTAAAAAGAAAAAGTATAAATGAAATATTCTAACCATTAAAATAGAAAGTGTTATTCTAATAAAAAAAACATTTTTAAGGAAATTGAAACTAACTATATAGAGATAAAGAAATACCAACTTTCAACCTGTTTTTGCAAATTGTGACCAACTCTTTTTATTTTTTTCACTTATCCAATGTCAAAGAGGTTATGTCCCGTTGGAATTCTTCATCCTCCAGAGGTGGAACGATTTTTTCAAGTTTATGTCCCATACATAAAATAGTTCTACTTCTAAAAAGTAATCTTTTGCTTATATTTTCCCTTATTTGGTAGTTGAGGCAACATTTAGAAAATTCAACATCATCTTTAAATAGTGTTTGTCAAAAGAATCCCATTTGTAAGACCTTCATCACTGTTATCTATCTTTAATAGGGAAGAATGATATCCCTCTAAAATAGCTCTTAAATTAGTTTGTGGTACATAACGGTGTTTTATTTCATATTCCTTTGTCTAAACAAATAAGACTCATCCCACAAATACTCTTTTTTTTCATCATGAATAAATTTATTTTTCTAGTGATATGACAAATCTATTGGATTAAATTGCATGCTAAGTAGTTGGCTATGTATGCATAGCATGGATCATTGCAAGTCTTCTAGCTATAACTAGTACAAGTTCATTAGGAAATGCTTCTTGAATTCCTTCTTTTGTACTCGACTTCTTTTGTTCACCCTATCGAGATGGATGAGCATTCCTCTTTCTCAACTAGATATTTCAGGTTATTAATGTAGAATTCTATTTGTTGATTATTCATTTTTAAAGTTATAGTTTCCTTATAGACATCTACCAATATTTTTCCTAGTTTTAGAAAATGGTCTACCCAAAATAATTTACATGTCTACTTCATAATCCAAAATAATAAAATTAGCAAGAAATATGAATTTGTCCACATAAAATACGATACCTTTGATCTTGTCTTTTGGATGACTAATAAAGGGGTATGCTAATGGGAGAATGATGTAATAGATCTAGCTTTACCAATGTCTAACTTTTTGTAAATGGATTGGTCTTTAGATTAATGCTGGCTCCCAAGTCACATAATGCTCTATCTATCTCATTCACTCCAATTGATACTAGAATTGTTAATGAGTCATAGTTTTTCTCCTTGAGTGGGATCTTGATTTTTCAATATTGCACTATATTCTTCATTTAGGTCATCCGACTATTAGGAACGAGAAGGTTGAACACTAACCATTTCACAATCTCTTTCTCTTGGACAGAAAATTTGAATTCTTAAAATAAAAATTCATCGGTGAGAATATACTTCAAAAACTAAACATAGTAGGGCATCGGTTTCAAAGCTTCCATTATCAAGATGTTTATGTGTGACTTTTTTAAAAGTATTTATGAAAGTTTTAAAAGGGTGCCCTCCTTTATTTTTATTCTATGTGGAAAAAGAAGCGATGGGATATAAGTTCTTTCTGCTTATATTTTTATCGAAAACTCTTTAGGTTCTCCACTTTTTTTTTTTTTCTTCTTTTCTTTCTTTCTTGTTGAACATCTCCTTCCTTCAATTTCTACATACTATTTATTGAGGGTGGATATTGTTGTCTTTCTTATTTCCACCTTTTCCCTAGGGTAATATGCTCTCACCACTCAACTCTATGTTTGACATAATTCCTCCTCTTTTTGGAGTTTTGGTATCTGCCCCAACTTTCTATGGGGCCTATTTCTGAGCTCCACTCAAACTTCCAGATTTTGCAAGCATGCTTGCTGGCCTTATATTACAATACCGTTCCTAGCCGTACATTCCTTTGATAGACTTTCAAAATATGTCCTCGGAATGTGCTAAGCTTGGCAGGTTCCTTTCCCTTGGACATTAGCTTGTTGAGATCATGTCATTTGATTTTGTCCAAATAGTCCAAAACTGATAGGTAATTTTTCGAACATTTGTTTATTGTATGAACTTTGGTTTTTTCGTGAGAAATTTGGATGATTCCTCTCCCTAAGTTGTAAGTATTTAAAAATGGATAATTCTTTTGGTTGCTTTGATTATATTGGTTTTTAATATTAAAAACAGAGGCTGAATTGTGGGGACGGTGACCAAAAGTGTGTTCTTCTCCACAATATACACAGGATTCAATTGCTATTTGAGTCATCATAGCTGCTATTTGTATTGGCGCTTTATTTATTGATCTTTGTCCCTACACAAAAATTTGTAGAGTCGTAGGGGATAACTGAGTATTGATAGGTATTAAAACGTCAACTTTTAATACTTCTCTAGTCTTCTTCCCTAGATTACTCCTTACATTAGCTCACTGATAGTTATTGGAAACTATTTTTTCTAAAGTCTCTTATGCATCATTGTAT